ATAAATTAATTAGTAGCCAGGTAGGGTTTTTGAAGCTTGAAAGAAAGGTGATGTTTGGTTGAGATGGAAAAAGATGGTGTTGGAAAGTGATAAAGACATATGTCCATTTCATGCCTGGTCAATCCAACATAGAGGTTGCACGTGGGACCATCGCACGTGTGATGATTATTTTGTATCTAGGGTTTGGTTTATATATTCTACATTTTGTTCTCTCAATCTAGAAGAGACCTTTTTTTGTTTGGTTGCATATTTGCCTTGATTAATTTAATTATTAGTTATGTAGGAGCCTTAACAAATAGAGGAATATAAGGAAATAAGAACTCTAATTAAGTCGCAATTACATAGCATTTTAAATTTTAATACGTCGAAAAAAATATGAGCTATAAATAGGAATGACAACGGGGTGGGTATAAGATCGGTCAGTTATTTTCACCTCTTATTTTTGTCACTTTGTCCCATTTCCATACCTGATCAAAGCAGGATAAGACGGGTTTCGCTGCTTTATTTATCTTCCCGTTTATTTATTTTTTGCTTTTATTTTTATGTTTTTAGTTAGTAAATATTATTACTTTTTTGCTCAACTTGTTAAGAACGACTTATATTCTTTTTAAAAATAATGATAAATCTTTCATTTTTGTTTGATAAAAAAAATAGAATTTGAAATTAACTTTAGACGGGACAGGTAGCGGGATGGAGACTATGTTTCCCATACCCACCCTCGTCCCCGCCCCGTTTACCTGATTCGGAGGGTAATTCACGTCCCATTTGGACAGGATCCACGGGCATCTGGTTGAACGAATTTTTTCGTCATCCCTAACAAATGATATTATTTACTCCAATGGGTAGGATTTGAAATATCTCTTACTAAAAAAGTGCTTCATGGTAGTCCATCGTCTATTACTTATTGGAAGTCTCTCCATAAACTACTGATAAGTTTAACTCGATAATGAGCTCGAGCAAATTATTCTCAAAGTTGATTCATGTATAGAAAATTATGTATGGCTTCTTTGGATTCTCGATGATAAACCCGACAAAAATATAAGATAGCCCAAAACCCCGTATAAGCAAATGAAAACCCTAAATTAAAATTACAAATACACAATAAAATATGACATAACAGTGCAGCTCATGAAGAATTTAAATCAGAAGTTTTCAATACTGACAACGTGATTTGTGAGGAAAATGTCATTGAGTCAAGATTAAAAGAGACAAAAATAGAAAAATTCACCTTCAAGAATTAATGCAAAATAAACCCAATATTGTATTCAATTTAAGCTAAAATGTAGTTTGAACAGCAGGCAATTCTTCAAAGTCCAAACCAGAATACAAGGATTGATGTGAAATTTAGTATAAATCCTTAAAAGACAAAGAAGATGTCACCATTTCTAGAGTGAGAGTGATTTTTCCTTTTTCCTTTTTCTTAATTTGAAAATTAAGTAATGTAATAAGGACAAGTACGTGTCAATTACTAGGATGAAGCCACAAAGGGTCACGACATAGAGGTTAATTGTCTTTGAAGATTTATTTGACCAAGACCCAACATGTAGCCGCATATGTAGAATTACAATCATATAATTACATTAAATTAATCTATGTTTGTATAATGGATTTAAGGGCATGTTCGACATGAATTTTGAGAAGTCGGAAAGAGTTCCTGAGATTCAAAAATTACTTTTCGATCCGTTCGATTAATTTTATAGAAGTAATTCTTCTAATTAGAAACATTTTCGAAAAATGAAACTCTTTTAGAAATTAGTTTTCAAATACTATAATTCAAGTAACTTTTTATGAAGTTCTTTCGGAAAATAAAACCCTTTTAAAAATTATTTTTAAAATACTATAATTAAAGTAACCGAAGTTCTTATCATTGATTTCAATAGAGGGTAGTTTTTTCATATCCTCTAACGAACGTAACAAGCAATTGAATGGACTGAATTAAAAAAGATTCATATACATAGTCTTAAAACTATTAACAATAAAATTATTTCACAACAGAGTGCAGTTGTTTTATATATTCATTAATTTGAAGACATTTCATTATTCTACAAAATTGAATCGTACAAAAAAAGTTGAAATATACACTACGATTCGAGGATCCAACTTTTAAACTTTGAGTTAGATGGTAAAAATCTCAGTTCGATCATGTATGCCAGATTCATTGAGCTACAATATTATAAGAAAAAAAAAATCATTTTTTTCTTCTTTAGTATCTATTTATAATTTAGTGGCCACATTACCGAACAAAGCGCCATAAAAATAAGTGAAAATTAAACAAAACTCGAATTTTAAAGATTCAATTTCAAAAATTAGATTAAAGGTTTCACTTTTCAAAAATCAGATATTTCATTTTAAATATTAAATATTAATTATACAATTTTCGTCTCAAACCCTAATCAATTTCATTCAAATTTTCCTCATTTTCTCTCCTCTTCGTCACTCTCTCTACCGACACCACTCTCCTCCCTCTTCGCTGGCAGCTTAGCCTCCATGAGATGGCGCAGCCTTGTCCGGCTACGGCGCAGCGATGCAGGGCACCGCTGTGAGTCACTGTTGTCGTTGTCGTCACCGTCGCAATGTATTTCTTCCTCCTCTTTTCTCTCTGTCACTCACTTTACCGACGCCATTCTCCCCCCTCTCTGTCGGCAACCTAGCCTCCACGAGAAGGTACAGCCTCGTCCGACGACGTCGCAGCAGTGCATCGCTACCTGAGCACTGCTGTGAGTCGCACAACGACACAGAGGTGTAGCGGTGCATCGCTGTGAGTCGCCACAGTTGTGTAGATCCTTTTTTTAGTGGTGTGGTGATTGTGGAGGTGTGCGGTGCGATGGTGGGAACGGAGATCTTGGATGGGTGTGGAGGTGATGTGCGGCTATAGGTGCTTCTTCTTTTATTTTTTATTTTTGAGAAGTGTGGTGATTGTTGAGGTGTGCGGTGCAGTGGTGGAGGTTGCGGTGCGGTGGTGGGAACAAAGATCTCCGATGCGTGCGGCGGTGATGTGCGGCTGTGGTGCTGTAAGTGTGTTGGTTGGGTGAGTGGTGTGGTGCTGTGTGCAATGGTGGCTATGATGGAGATGGCGATGATGTCGGTATTTTTAGATGATGGTTTGCTGCCAAAAAGTGGTGGTGGTGGTGTTGGTTCCGACGATGAGGTTTTGGCTGCCATGCTGTTTGTGGCAGTGGTGAGGTGGTAGTCATAAATGTTGATGGTGGTCACAGATTATTTGGTTGTTTATGATCATTAAATTGATTAATCTGTGACCAATAAATAATGTTCGACCAATGAAAAAGATAAGTTGTGTTGACACCGATCTCCGAAGTTACTTAGTTTAGATTGGTGTACCCAGTAAGGGGATAATAATGTGAGCTCGGATATGCGAGGTAACTGTTGATACCGACCTCCGAGGTCACTTAGTTCGGCTCGGTGTACCCAGTAAGGAGATAATAATGTAAGCTCGGATATGCGAGGTCAGTTCGGGTCTTGAGTAACTTACTCAAGAAGCTTGTGTAGTCCTTCAAGGTGAAATAATGAATAATGATTAAGAATCACTGACAAGATACACGGGTTACCCATCAGAAGGATACACATGGAAATGTCTTACGTCAGCGCCCACATTATCCTCCAATCAGAAATCTTAGCTTCCCTTCCTTAGTAATGCATTAATTGCTGGAGACCACCTGCACCAGTAACTCATGGTCAACTGACAGAGCCGAACTCGGCAACCAATCATATTACGCCAACATATGTACTTATTTAGCTCAGTATTGCAGATTGACATGACAGGAGGTACAGTGTGCATGCATTACCCCACTATAAAAGGAAAAGTGGAGGGGAAGAGAAAAAGAGAGACACTTTCGGATTCTCTTCATACTTCAAATATCTCCTACAATGGGAAAAAGAAGAGGATTGTGTAATAATCTTTTAATCCGTTGGTAAAAGATCAATCAATTTTGTGTTTATTCCCTAAGTTAGTTTGAATATTGTCTATACATTTTTCAATGTCAACAAGTTGTGTTCACAAAATAATGTGACTTAAAAAATTGTTAATTTTTGATCGATAATTTGATAATTTGTGACTGTCTAATAAATTATGACTTATAATATTTATGATTTGTGACTTATAAATAAATTGTGATGATTAAATTTTTGATTTGTGACTAATGAACAAATTGTAATTTATAAAAATTTTGAGTTGTGACTTTAAAATAATTTATGGTATATAAAATTTATGATTTGTGATCGACAAAAAAATTATGACCTATAAAATTTTCGATTTGAAATAATTTGTGACTAATAAACTTTTTTATTGTGATCGGGAAATAATTCATAACTAATTAATTTATAATTTGTGAACAAATTATATGAAATTATGACATTAATATATTTAATTAATTTATTTATAAATAAATTTGAAAAAAACTAACATTTGAGATTTTAAACATTTAAAATAAGTGAAACTTAACCTCTTATTTATGAATTTTCCCTAAAATTAATGCAAGGTTAGAAGTCACCAGGCAATTGCAAACCCAAACTCAACCTACTATCCTCTCGTTTTCAAAAACATATTCTCTCAATAAAATAATTTTACACGTAAATCTATAACTTTTCTTACTCTTTAACCACTCATCCTTTAAAAAAATAATAAATAAATTATTTTGTTCAAACGTGCTCTGTAATTTAATCTATCTTGACTAGCTATATGCCAAATGTACTAAGCCAATTTTTTCTTGGATCTATCAATCTTAGGAACAATGCGACTAAAGATAGCCATTAGTGGCTTATCCATACTTTTCCAAACAATATTAAATAAAACAATCATTTCACAAGTAGAAAATCAAAACTTCAACTTCCCACACACACAAAGGAGAAGAAAACAAAACAAAATAAACCTTATTGCCTTTGCTAGCAATGACTGTCGAACGAGCAAAGAGCAAAAACTGCATAACTGAACAAGAAGCCTCAAAGACAGAATCCAACTACATAAAAATAAATAACCGTCAAGGCTAGTTAGTTTTCTCCATTTGCAAAAGGTGCATTAGTGAGCACAATACATCCATCCGATGCATGCTTCGATTTTTCTGTCCCTGCGCAAAAGTTTTCATGTCAAAATTATCGTTTTTCCACATGTTGCAAGAAGTTAGTCAGGAATCTAATAAAGTTTTAGGACACAGGATTTGAACTCAATTTGACGCCCAAGAATTGAATTTGTTAAAGATACGGAAATAGTTCCATGTTCTATTCTCCAGGTTTCGTGTGATTTTTATGTTTTATATATGTCATTCTCTTTGTAATTCTTAGATAGAAAATTACGAGTCATATAATTCCTTTAGAACAACTCGTAAATATATTTTTACCTCAACCACAAAGCACATCCACATCTTATTTCCGTAGGCTTCTGTTACACCTTTTAAGATTATCAGACCCAAACTTCTGATGGTTTCTGCTACCTCAAGAAAATGGCTGTGTTCTTCACATATCATCTGCATCATTCAAACTGAAAGTCATCAAATGAAAAAAAAAATGTACATAATTCAATGTCAAAGATTCGATCATCTGTGATCATTGTGAAATAAGAACAACAGTAAAATGTATGTACTTTAAGGTCAATGACTCGTAGCATATTTGGCTAAGCCTAATAAGTTCACTTATAAGTTTCAGAATAAACACTTATTTTAATCGGTCAAAGTAAGAAATAAGTTATTTTGACAATAAGGTAAAAGTTACTTTCAAAGTAAGTGACACTTTTCATTTGAAAGAAAAAGTGTACCATATTCAAAGATTTATGGAAACAAAAAGTTATTAAAAAGTAACTTTTTTTTAAGCTTAGCCAAACATGCTCGAGTCAGGCATTTTTATTTTCCCTTTTTGAGTTTCAGAAATTTCTTGGTTTCATTGTTGCCAATGTGGGAGTTTTCATTTTTCTTTAGCAAAAGCTTTATGGAATTACTAATTAAAATGCATCCTTACCTTCACCAGCATTTGCCCGTTCATATTTATATTTTCTACAACTATCGGGCAAGCCTTCGGTTCATTTCCCACTTCCACAGCCCAGGTCAAACCTTGATCATTACAGGAAGATCCTATACCCATGTCCTTGTCAAGCAACTGCAAGATCACAGATTATTTTCCTAAAATCTTTAATGATGAATAAATGATTGTCATATAGTACTATTTTTTAAATCTGGTAGATAATCTATTCTAGTGCTGCGTTCATGGATTTTTTTCCAGCATAAATGGTTAAGAAAAGAAAAATATTTTTCTATATATGCAGATATTCTATTTTCCAATAACCAAGTACTTCATTGTAATATGCATGAAATTCTTTTAATTTTCTCGAGGAAAGAGCATATTTCAAAATTTTCCTCTTCTAAAAATAAATTTCTTCACTATGAAATATTAAAGTTATAACGAAGGTATTACGGAAATATAAAAAGAAACTATTATATGACCTGTCCCCTAACAAACTCAAAATGGAAGAGGAGGACGTCAGTCCACTGGATGTTGGACATAGCTCAAAAAATTAAAAATGAAAAAACATTAAAAGAACTAAAGATTCCAGATACCAGCACACTTCAATTTGTTATTACGTGGCAGTGGCAGGGCTGTGCAAGGAGACTCGTAAACTGCAGAAAACCCTACAAACCGAACACAACCAATTTGAGGTTGCCAGCAGGTTATAGATTTTTATGAGAAAAATGTGATAGAGAGCCAAAGGATTTAACCATGGAGCCATATTGAGCCCACTAGTACCCGTAACCAATGTGACTTCACAACAACATTTCTTAACCCTAATTATATTCTTCTTAAATATTGATTATAGCATTCTGTTATTTGAATTTTGTCATGTAAAGTAGTCTATAGATTCTAAACTCAATAACAATTTTTCCCCAACAAAAACAACCTCTAGGAGAAACAGATTAATTGGTATAAACGCCGACAACTTGACCATCTGACCTAAATCATCCTTCAGGCATGAACCAAGAATATTCAAATTGAACGAACCAATTCATTAAACAGTTTGGCTTTTGTTGATCCTCTCAATTTGGTCTAAAATTTGGCTAATCAACCAAGGGAACTGCACTTCTTCTGTCCAAACTCAATTCTAAGAGATGCACTCAATCTCATCTAGTATAATCAAGTCCCTTAAATCACCATATAACTATGCCAATCATTAGCGCGCCCAGTTTATCACCCACACCAACCTGAACAACTCTTATAGCTTTTAAAATCCCAATTAATGAATAAAGTATATGAAGATCGGATAACGACAAAATGTCCAGATAAGTGCTCATACTACAATGGATAATATACACTAACAAGTGAAGGCAGGAACAAGGATAAATTAAGATAACGACTTCGGTGGTTAGACTGAGTAAAATATTAAACTCCATACCTTTGCTGCTGAGCATCTATTTAGCTTGTCGGCATGTGTTGTTGTACTTTGCATAAAAAGCATGTGCTTAATTGTTCGCTCCAAAAGTGAATCAATACTGCACTGCGTCAGTCAGAAATTTGAATACATAATACATGAAAAAAAAAGGTTCAAAAGAGGAAACACAGGGGTAGAAGTTACCTTTGATCCATTGGGAACAAGCTCTCGCAGTTCCTTGATTCGATCTTGGATCAACTGTCTGTCCCTTGGCCTAGGCCTGCAACTTTCACCAGGTCTGGCCCTCTTTTTGGTTATCTTAACCTGTTCTTGTGTCCTCTTCGAATATTCACTCCCTCTACTAGAACTGGTTGATGAAAAGCCTTTAATAGACTGAACACCATATGTGGTTGAGGAATTCAAGCTGTTCATTGACTCTCGATCAAATGAATAACCTGCCGAACTAATAGTGACCACATCACTTTTGAAAGTCTCCAATGTTTTTTCAGCTGTCAACAGGGATTTCTCACTATAAATATCATCTGCATCATGACTAATTTTACCCACCACTGCATCCAGAAGGTCCTCAGAATCATAGTTCGCTATCAACAAATTGCTACTGCCCATTCCCTCAGAAATCCCAATAGCCATTTCTGACCCTGTTTTTTCCACCTCCCTATCACAGCAGGTTTTCTGCTTCCTGAAAGAGGATCCTAGTGCTTCATACAGCTCATCGCCAGCAGAAAATCTTGTGGGTGCACCTTGTGAATCAACTTGATTAGACTTAGTGATTGATTCCAAGTTCTTCCCTGAATCTTGACTCAACTGCATATTGAAAAGCTCTTGCGCACCACAGACCCCAGCTTGATCCTTGCAAGCTGCAGGGTCGAGGCTTTCTGAAGGAAAGTATGGCATATCCATATCAGAGTTATTGGTCGGGAGAGTGGCATTATACAAATTACACCCTGCATTGTTGGTATCTTTAACAAATAGTGCTCTGATATTTTTTGAATCCCACAAGTCAGTAGTTACACCTTCACATACTGTCTCGGTAAAAGATTCCAGCTCTACTTGTTTCTGTTCCCTAATGAGAAAATCTTCAGAAGTTAATGGAAGTGAATTCTAGCTTTCACCAAACCCCGGCATTGAGTACTTACCTTCACGCATATTCAATTTAACTTACCTATTGGAAAAACTTTCAGGTGGAGGAAGAAAATAAGAATGATGACGAGGTTTCCCAAGACATGGAAATATCTGAGACCACATATTCATCTCGTCCTCGTGAAATAATCTATCCATATTGGTTACGCTGCTGCCATGAAAACCTGCTGAACCTGAAGTTCTTGTGCAGATATCTGACTGGTAAAGAATATACCACCACAAGATGTGGAAAGAAAATTATTCTACATACATGTTTGCTAAGCTTAAAGTTACTTATAGGTAAATAAGTCTGTTCTAGAACAAATAATCATTTTATTGGTCAAAGTTAGAAATAAGTAAGCTACTTGTTTTAACAGTAAGGTAGAAGTTTCACTCATACTAACTATTCTTTTTTACTTGAAAGTAAGAAAAAAGTAACACATCCAAACATAAAAAGAAGTAACATATCCAAACATTTTGAAAACATAAAATTCATTAAAAAGAAACTTTTACTTTTCAAAGCTTAGCTAAAAATGCTCGTATTGAGAAAGAGATTCACCAGACAAGAATTCTCCATGCTACTTTGTCTTGATTGGGGAATAAAACCAGCTAAAGAATCTTGAAGCATAGAAAAGACATGTCTGATATGGCTGACCAGCTTTGGATCCTCTGCAATCTGATCTCAAACAAAAACGAAAGGCAAATTACAATGCAAACGAGATGTTACTGACACAGCAGGGCATGAGTACAAAACGTGAAGCTTTTTCTTAGATAGGTACATTCAAAGGTAAGAGCTTGTAGATACTCCATCAGTCAGGATAATCTACATTGATTTTTGACAAAATTACTGCCTGCATTTTCAAAGAGCAATGGCTTGCTGTCTCTTAACTGCCTCTTCGGCTGATATACAGGTCAAAGGTGATCCGAATGCAAACATACAACACATTAATTATGCCATATAGATTAAATGCTTTTACAAGTAAAAAAGTGATAGCTGATGGTAAAAACAAATGAAGTCTTCCGTTCAGCACGGTACAACTACCCATCCATTAATTAAGTAGGCTAGTTGAAAATAGTATACATCCAATGGTCTAAAAATATAGATGATATCATAATACCTAAAGAGCAATTGAAAAAGGGTAAGATTTGAATGGAAAAAAGACCAGGAACTCGAAACATTGATGCATTGTGTTTCATGTAAATTTTGGAATACATATTTGGCAGATCTTTTTAGTATGTACAGCAGTACTCTAATAATGCAAATTATTGGGACGATGATGAAGATGATAAATCTGCATCAGCATACTTTATTTAAGGAGCCAAGCTGTATAACTCCATGTGGAATGACAGCCACCACTGCAATGGTCTGCAAGACGAAAAATAATTCATTACATACATTCCTACAAAAATCCAATTCCAAGGTTCCTTATATAAAAACACTCGCTGAATGAAGTTCTGCGGAGGAGAAACTGGATAGAATTTTTTAAAGAAAATGCAACAACAGAACATTATAATTTTGACTTAAACCAGTCTCTACAATCAATGAGACCGTTACCAACTCTTTTTGGAGAAAGGTGCATCAGCTCATTCGAATAACTAGATGGTGGATTAAAATTTAGTTCATCTTTCTTCCTTTCTATACAAAGGTTTCAATTTTACTGAACAAAAAAGTAGCAGTTTGAGCTACTCCTTATGCAACTTGGTTTCCATTTCCTATGCTTCTTTCAAAAAGCATTTTTGTTTCTTGACAATTGACCTGGAGTTAATAAATCAATACTATTCATGAACATCTTTGTTCTTTCTTATTTTAATTGATGACACCCGATTATTTAACTTCATGTGAATTGCAGCAAATATGAGGAACTGGATAGGGGGATTTACCTTGATCCCAGCTGAAAACTGATCTTGCCAACCATCAAAGCACTGGACAGCACCAAACTTATTTAATTAGAATGATAGCAACACTAGATCATACATTGTTGCAAGGAAACAAATAAAAAATTACACCCTATAAGCTATCTTCACTGTCTATCTTCTTTTCTCAGCTTGCCATACACATTAGTTATTAACATCCATAATGAAATGAAATCATCCTCATTCTTCCCAAACTACCCTTACATTCAGATTACTATGTCATATACCTGTTTCAGTTCCAATCAATAGAAAACAGAACACTTAAACCTGAACATTAAACATACAGAACCCAAGATTTCAAAGCAAATATAGTTAAACAACTCTTAAACAATAAATAGATATTTATACTTAATTGTTTCCCGTATTCCCCTTCATTTTTTAGCCACGGGTAAGTGATATAATTGCACGATAGAGGGATTATCCATCATCAAATAAATTAAAATGTCCTACAAATTTCTGACCTCGGATGTGGAGGGAGAATCCGCTACATGCTTCTCCAGAAAAACCCACGAATGCTTCCCAGAAACTGCCACCTGCCCAACAATGCTGCCCAGCAGAAACATATAAGAGGTATACAGAAGAAACAATTCTTAACTTACAGTGTTCTACGCAAGAGTAGTAACTACCATCAACATTAATGCAGTATCAATAAGAATTTAATAAAGTTTCAAATTCCATTAAATGTGTCAAAGTTGTTTCGGAAAATCAGCCAAGAAGCAGACACTACAAAGCAATAACATCAAATGGTGTCAGGGTAATGCCACAACATACTGTAGTGTAGGCACTTTATCAAACTGGATTTATGAAGTATCTTATTTATCCAAAGGCCAAAAAAAAAATCTTAATCACCCAAACAAGAATTATAAACTATCTATTAATTGAGGGATCACGCATCACGCTTTTCATTATAGCAGGCATACCCTTCCCCTGGAGAGTATACTTGATACGACATTTTGGCCACAGCTAATCCGAGAGGATCATGTGAAAAAAGACCATCATGGTCGCTGCTCACAATCTCATTGAACCACTTCCTTTCTGGGTATTGGTTGTTGTTGTAATAGGCATCCTCGCATGCCAACATCCTGCATGAAATTCCAGATAAAGGCAAACAGAAGACGGGACAAATTACAATTCTAATGAGAAAATAGAAAAAGTTTAATTAACTATTCTACATGATACGTCAACTCTGAAATATAGACTATCTTGGGATCTAGAAAATATAATAAACATGAGAGATATTAGATATATATTGCAAAGTTCTTCAGCAATTCCATTGATAAAAAATATTTTTACATAATACATTGTACAAAAAGATGTACACTCAACAGGACTCTGTTTTAGTTGATACAGAAAAATTGTGTTTTTTAGTAATGGTTGATACACAAACTTCAAAACGTTATTTAAGAATTAAAAGGGTCCAGATTTCCTTTATAAATACATAAGGTTGTCCAACCTTTGCTCATTTTTATTTTCACCTTTCAGGCAAATACCTCAAGAGTATAGAAAGTTAAAACATGATGAGACATCTTCCTTGCATAGACATAATATCATTTGCCGATACAAACAACTGTTCTGTAGTAGCTTTAGCTGACGTTACAGTCATTAGCATCATCTCCAACTTCAGCCCCATCTCCCAGCCAAAGAAATTCTTCTTTGGGATGCACAATACGAACAATGTCTGCATTTTTCATGGCACAAAACAACTCTGTGCTTGCCATAGAATATAAATCCCAGAAATTTGGCATTCTGTATCTCCGAGAATTCTTCCTTAGGATTTTAACAATTATTATCTACAATTCGCACTTGAATTCACATTATATAACAACCTAACATGTTCTATGGAATGCAATTGTCAAACTAGACATTGAACCTCCATCCACAATAATGCTCTCATCGCTCAAACAATTAATACTCCCTTTATCCACAATTGTGTGTCTTGATTTAATTTGGCTGGCATATTGTCTTCTTTTTACCACACAGGTCAACTAAGCATGAGGCGGGCACAGAGAAGACAACGCCAAACGCTTCAGCCTAATGGGAATGAGAAATGACAAGATGAGGTGCCCCAAAAGATGGGCAGAAGCTTTACAGCCCATAGCTTTCCCTGTCGTCTTCAAAGGGCAGTGCTTGTGAGGGGATGCGCCACCAAAAATCAGACCCGGGGGATCTCCATCACAAGGAAGATTGTTTCTAGGAACTGGTAATCTAAGTTCACATTAGCCAGTGCTTTTGTCTTCCATCACAACATTTGAGTTCTCATTGTTAACCACAAAATTAATGGCCAAAATTACCTGTTAGTCACATTGTGTAATCTAAAAATTTCCCCTTTTTCTCTCTGTTGTGGCACTCTACTTGATCTTCACTCTAATTCACTATTTAATTCAAATATTCTCTGTTGATTTAGAATGTTTTGCAAGGATTTTACTCAAAAAGACAACGATTCCTTTCATATTTCCCAATTACAATAACAAAAAATGTGATATTGTACATTTAACCAAGTGAACAGATAGTGAACTTATAAAAGCAAATCCACTCTACAAAGTAACAATACCGTTATGATATATCTCGCATCAAGTAAGACTGGCGTTCAAAACAAGATAAAAGAATAAAAGGACTCACATTCGTGATCGATGCTTGAGTTTCCAGAAAACTGCATACTTCCAACCAGTGTTGAAGCAAAGGCTTCTCAACACTTGGCCCAAATGGCTTCCCATCATCCCTTCTCCCAGTGAGTTAAGATCCTAATCCTAAATGTAATGAAACCCAAAAAAAAAAAAAACCTATGTTCACCCCCTCTTTTTTGGATAATTCCAACGCCTAGCTCCCTCTGTAAGATCCTCTTCCGGCCTGTTTCCTTCTCAACCGTCGTTTAATTGGGGGACCCACCGTTGGCAGCAACATCCGGTCATCATTTCCCATCCTCCCTTCAACTCTCTCTCTCTCTCTAAAAATCCTAATTCGCAGATAAAGCTATAAACTTTCTTGAACTTACTAAAAAATATTCAATAAAACACGAACACGCGGCATTGAAATCCTCGCATCATTCATTCCATTCAAGAATTTTTCCATAGCTTTCGATTTTCTTCAACTTCAAGAATATTATTGAAACCCTTCAAAACTCTTGAATTCAAGACACAAAAACCACAGTCTTTACAAATACTAATAATCAAAGTTCACCATATCAATCACAACACGCAAACCATTTCTCTACGCATACCAATATCTTGAAAACAATTTTCTTCAACTCCAATAAGATTAAAGAAGGAAAAAAAGAAACCCTTATGAAATCTTGAATTGAACAAGCCAAAATTGATAACAAAAGTGCTATTCATCGGATATCAAGTGACACTGAGAACTCCATTTACAGTTTCTAGGCTCTAACAGGATCAAGAATTCAATAATAAAGAGGTATTTTAGAAAATCTCCCCTCTGTATCCCATATTCTTGATTTTTCTTTGTGCGTTCTAACAGAAAGCTGTTTCAGAAGAGTACCTTCGGCGCTCTATAGTAAAAACATAAAGAACTGAATTTGATGCCATTTTCTTTTACTTTCAATATTAAACACTACAAAAGCAATGGCAGCTCGTGTAAAGGGAAAACCAACCCCTCTGAGTGTGAGAGGAGAAAGATCAAATTCAATGGAAATTCCATTTTTTTCAAACCCAAAAGCTTTGGTTTATATGCAGTCGAGTAAAAGCATTTCTCTTGAATGCACAGTGCCTCACTCTGTTCTCAGCGGCGGTGCGCAATGCGCATCAGCTATTTGTCCTCTCGCCGCATGATGGCAAAAAGGCCTTTATACCCTTCGTCCACTCTCAAATCATTGTACCAGCACTAACGGTTATTGGCCTATGTCATCACGTTCATCAATTGTACATTCGATCCACCAATCACGTAATTAGGAATGGACATGGTTAACACTTTCTCAAGTATTGCTATTTAGGACAACTGATAGTATACAGTGTAAATAGCACTGTGTAAGGCCATGTTTGATTGATTGAAAAGTTCCATCGAAAACGGAAAAGAAATTTCATCTTTCACTTTAAGCATGTTTGATACACTAAATTTTCTTAGCAATTCATTTTCTTGATTTTGGCTCACACAGTTCCAATTCCTTGTTTTTGATGAAAATCAATTCCCACCAACTTAGTGGGATTTGGTTTTTCCAATTTACTTTTGTTTTTTCAATGAAAACAAATTATATCCCAAATTGTAACAAACTTTATCCTTTTAATGAACATTTTTCATGTAAAACAAAGTTAAATGAACACAAAAAGATCCAAAATTTTAATATTTTTCACGTGAAAAATATACTAATCAAACACAATCAATTGACAATTCTTAGGAAAACAATTCTAGACAATTCAATTATCTGGAATTCATTTTCATTCCACCCAAATTCCACACTTGCAATCAAATATACCCTAAATGATAGGAACGATTAAATTAGTCACTTGATAGCACATTGACCCAAAAACTGATATTGTAGCACCAATTATTTTAGATAACATTATTCTACTACTTATTTTATTGAGAATAGAATCGAGTCGATTAGTGGCAAAATCCATACATGTAATCAAACAACTCAATGATAAAATCGAATTGGACTGCAACTAATCTGTTTTGACTTTTGATTTGGCCGAATCCTTTTATTGGTTCAAAAATGTATTTTAAATTAAAACTTTATGTGCAAATTTTCGCATTTCACTTTCATGTTTCTTGAACAAAAAACAAAAGTGTTTATCTAAAATTCTATTAATACATGTGAATTTGATTATAAAATAATTTTGATTATTACTGAGATCATAAAATAATTTTAGAATCAAATCAACATTTGATTATATAGTTAGAATCGAAAAATCATATCAGAATCGTTTGATTAGTTTTAATAATCAGAACCAATTAAGTTTTGACTAGAATTGAATCGAACTAGCTACTTTGGTCCAGTTTTAACTCAATTCGGGTAATTCTGGATAAAGATATTCACCCTTGTTCATAAAAAACGAACAAAAAAGGTTATTTTAGCTTTTCTTTCTTCTTAAGATTATTTAATACTATCTATTTCGACATCTCCAACCTTTCAGAAAAAAGAAAGGCTGAGTTCATCCCCAATCTTTTTTTAAATTGTACCATTCATCCCAATCTTTGAAAAACAGACAGAGTTCGTCCCTCTAACAGATTATGTCCAAATTATCAAGATCGCGAAAAAGGACAATTACCCTTCAATTTAATAAATAAAAAGAGAGAAATAAAAATTAACCAAATGAGCACCAAAATTAAAGAATAACAAAAAGAGCCAAATTCCATTCATATTCTTTCTTCACCTCACCCTCCAAAAGCCACCACTGTCAGGTGACTCCACCTCCATCACCATCGCCAACAACTTCACCTCATCTTCTGATCCAATTTTGCTCATGGGCGAAATCAAATCTTTGGTATCAATATGTTTCAAATGGCGAGAAACTATAGACAATACTTCAAGCTACTTAACAAACGTAACACATTGGAGAGATTTCCTTGGATGCTACTCTTCTACTCATTTGTTGGTTTAATGGATCGACTTAGTCTTATCGTTCCATTAAGACACTGTAACTTGTTTCATATGACGAAATTTAATCAAACTTTTAAGTCAAGAGTCAACTTTGTGTCATAACCTTGCTTGACGATACCTTGGTTGGTCGACTTCACCATCTAGTATGGGATGTTAAGTCTTGCCTAATGCTAAGTCAATAAGTAGGCTATGATAGATGTTGACCCCTGAAATTGAGCCAACAGATGTCGGGCCCACTCACGCCGAGTCAAGTATGATTTCGGCACGTTCCTATCGGAATGAAGACAGTAACAAAGAGGAGATGGATGCGGGAGGTATTTTGCGGCGAGAGACACAAATGTTCGAGTTTCGACGGATGGAACAAAAGCAATCAAGCTAACATCGATCGCCCAATTGAAATCAAACTAATCTATGTAATAACTTACGGAAATATATGGAAAGATAGATATGATGTGTATTGAAATTGTTACGTCGTGTATAGAAATTTACAATTAATAAACATATCAAAAAGAAGATAAAAAATATACCCAAGTGTTTGTATCTTTTTCTTCAAAGTTGAAGCATGTGTTTCAAATATATGTTGTTGTCTCTTTTCCAATCAACCATACTCATTGAAGTTACAAAGAGAACCTATTTATACTATCTTGGCCGACATTGTAATCGTTGGATCAGAACCATGTGACATCATCTCCCTAATTGGGTCATTACATAACTGTCAATTCATACAATTAATACATTCATAAGGGGTCAGCCGCTCTATACAATATGTTGGCATACTGACAAGCTTTTATTACAAGTGTTATATCAATCATTTCAGAGAGATCTTCGAATCTTTTATAAGGAACGGCATCAGCTTACGAGCTTCGGATGAATCGAGAGCTTCGGAGGAATCTTCGAAATAGTTCTCTAAATGGAGAGCCTCAACTCCTTTCTTGTTTCCTTAGGCAGAGTCGTCTTTAATGTAGTGTCTTAGCCTGTACTTCGCCCTTGCAGTGTAAGGACTTCGGCTTTGTTTGCCTTCTACGTGTTTTGACCTTCTGGGTCTTTATTTGACTTTCTTGTTGACTTTCTGTCTATGTGACATCATCTTTCTGAGCCTCGGAGGTGAGGAGTAACAATAGACACACCTCTAACTATCTTACTTGAGGTATACTTTGTTAATCATCTTGTTTAATGTCCTTTAACCTTAAAATTCAGAAGCCAAACCCATTTTTTTAAAGGAAAAAAAAAAATAGATATATATATATGGTGAAAATGAGGGGCTTTATGAGGTTAGTCCTCTTATATGGCAAACAATATGATTTCCATTTGTAGAAAATGCTTCTTATCTTCCCATCACCTTCCTTTGTAAAGCCATAAAACTTAATTCTCCAAAAACACTTTTTTTAACAATAATTTTTACAGCTAAAAGTTGTGAACACCTCAACTACTAGTGTCTTCCCTCTTAACTTTTATGGGTTTTTTTTCATTTTGCTTTTGATTATCAGCCCGCCGACAGTGATTGAGTAATGCCATTATATTCAAGAATGATGGTTGGTTCTGCCCAGTCCCTATCCGAATATTAGTTTATTACTTATAAGTGTGAAAAAAGTTGCATATTTGACTATAAGATAGAGTTATTTTTAAATCAGGGAACTTATTCTCAATTTTGGGAAAAAAATATTTGATGTAAAATTTCTTATCTACTTATAAGTGAATTATAATCAAGCCAGATAAGAGATTAATTTCTTATCCCTCACTTATAGATTAAATTTAAAAAAAAGTAAAAAATTGTAAGGTTAGCCGAACATACACGCGCTTACGAGTTAAAGCATACCTTGAACATCTTATTTTTGTGTAACATATTGCCTTGAGATTATATCGTAGTTTGTTGTAATGACGTAACATAACAACAAAATAACAACGTAATTTTCTGTAAAATTGAATTCGACTTATAATTTTATATTAATCATTTTCCTCTATTTTGCTTGGTTCGTTCTATTTTTGTTGGAAGATTCAAAGTAACAAAATCATTTGCAACCACAATACTATGTTGAATAATGTTGGTTCCTCTCTTTTGGATATGTGCAAGAATGCAAAACGAATTTAGTCGCGACTATCTTATTTTGAGCATGTTTGGCTAAGCTTAAAATTCAATTAAACTTGAAAATATAGTCGTTATTGGGTCATACTCGTCTAATAAAAGTCAACCGATGCATATTTAATCTCCACCGAACACGCCCTTTATCATCTACCGATGCATATTTATAGAAAAAAAAATGCATTATATTAAGCGATTATTAATGTCATTTGTTCATAATTATTCGATCATATTAACGACTCTTTCTTTTGCCTAAAAAGCGAAGAAGGCTATAATAACTTTAAATTTACTAACAAACAAAATGGAGTGTGACAAAATGACATGTTTAATTGTCAATTACAACTATCATATGACATTGTTTCTCCAAAAGATTCAATTTGTCTGATATTACACATTGTTTTACCTAGGTAATTAGAATTATTAAAGGTCCTAATCATTAAATTATCCTAGTTAAGAATAAAACTAATAGAATTATTCTCGTAGGGTTCCATATGTTGTTGGTTTTGATGATTTCCATTCATATCAATTGAAGGTAAAAATTAATTCCTATAGTTTGTAAACTTTTAGAACTTTTTTGGATCAGTTTAAAAAGTTCACTTATAAGTAAATTTTAAAAATAAGTAAATATTTACTTGTATAAGTTGAAATAAGTTACTTGATTTGAAAGTAAGATAAGAATTAATTTTTAAATAAATTTTTTTACTTAAAAATTAAAACAATGAATAAACTATTTAAACATATCGAGAGAAGTGATGAATACAATGAGACAAAAGAAAATGATAATTTCTCCCCTTTCTTTATCTTAAAATTGAACATTTTCAAGTGCTTATCGAGTATTTACATTATGTGGTCTCATTCCCATATGAGCCAAGTATTATGTATGGCTGCTTATCACAATAAACATGGGAAAAATTTATTGGAGAGGCGTGGGAGAAAATGAAAAAAAATTGGCTTTCAAAGAATAGTTAGACTATTTCAACACAAGGGTTGAGACAATGGTCGAGAGTGAATGAATTCTTATAAGAAAAGTAATAAATACATTTTCGAACCCAACAAAGCTTGACTAGCTCGTTGTTTAGGTTGAGATGGTCGAGTAGAGCTCAACCAACTCAATCCAATGATCGAGTTGATTAGGTTAAAGTAGCTTCTACAAGGAAAAAGTAACTAATAAGACAAGTGACATTTTGAATAAGATTAATCGAACAATTTATCCTAAAAAAATAAAAGAAACTTTTCAATTAAATGCAATATAAAGTTGTTTCTTTTCGTCTAACACATAATTTCGTAGATTTCAATTATTAGTTATGTTTATTTAGTTTTTCTTTGGGCTTTCTTCTCCCTTCTCTTCCTCCTCTCTCTCATCACACACAAATGGAAATGGGAATCATAATCATCTTATGTAGATTTCATAGCATAACTTTTTACTAGCATGTAATCTAGGTGTGTGACTTAATATTCTACATACTCATGAGTAATACTTTGATATTTGCCTACTAGTCAATATGGGCAGGCTTGAAATTTGAAAATTATTGCCCATTTTCAAACACATTGTCTATCTACAACATTATAGTAGTGGTGCATAATTAAGTATAAAAAAAGTCGTACTACTTGTTTCTCGAACACAAGACATATTGATGCATCGAGAAGCACGAAACAAAATAAATACATGATTGAAGCTTGCTAATTTCAAAAGAGCATCGAGACTCACCAACCAAAACTTTTAATTTGATTGAATACCAAAAACTCATTGAAATTTCGTTGATTTTATAAACAGAATCTCATAAACGTGATTTAAATCAGTATACCAAACATTTCATTAGTTGGGTTGTGCTAATTTATGTGAAAGTGACTCGACATTAGATTCAACACAATAATAAGTAGTATTTCTTTTTCCTTTTCTCTTGTGAGTCTTTGTCAAAAGATTGAATTATCATGGGATCAAGTTATGTGTGTGCTAGTGATATGTCGTTCTCATTTATACATGAAATATTTTCCGTTTCAAAAGTGCAATTTGATTTCGATGTGATTGAATGGTAAAAAAGATGATGATGATGATGATGATGATGATGAAGAAGAAGAAGAAATAATAATCAATGAATATTATGCAATACTTTAAGGTATCTAATTAAAATTGAAGGATATGAGACTTGATTTTAAGCGACTTCCATAACACGCTTCCTCGAAAGCACCTCAAAATCATTCAGAAATTTCATTCAAAATTATATTAAATTTTTTACATATCTACGCTTTGGACTAGACTTGTACAACTAGTCCTCAACAACAAAAATCATTTAAATTTTTATTAAATTATTCACATATGTAGCTTTGAATGCGATCCTAGATATGCTAGAACATAAAGAAAGTTAAATTTGATACTTCAATAGATAGCACCGCTACAATAAATTGTGGACGCAAAGAGAAACACTTCAACTTTAGAAAAAGTTCGCATGGATTCCTAATTCTGCAATTATACCAAATGTAAATTTTGTTCACCACATAATAGCGAAGTTCGAGCTGTATATAATCCTTGTTTGGTGTGGATTAAAATTTGAATTGAATTTAAGTCGAAATCAACAATTAATTTTAGGGTAATTATATTACCACTACAAATTTTATTAAGCACGCCACAATTTTCTTATTTACTAAAAGATCCTTAAGTAAAATGACATAATTAGGTTTTAAATATACTTTTTAATTAAATAAATTATAGTTACACCACAAATATAAAACATAATTTCTTTCTTTCTTTTTTCCTCAACATCTCATTGCTCATAGTTTTCCGACGGCTTTTACCTTTTTCCACGGCAGCAAGATAATTTTCTTTTCCTCACGGTAAATTAATTTATACTCTATTTGACTACGATTTATAGATGAATTTTTTCAATTTAATTATCAAGTTTGAAAATTAAGAATTTATCACCATGATTATTTAATTTTATTCGAAGGTTGTCTTTCTGTAATCATGATTTTGACACATGAGTTATCATTTTTCTTGGTACATTTGATAACAATTCTCTCTTCAACCTGTACTCAGTTGGGTTTAGGAAGTTGTTAACTAGTCCAAACTCGAACCCACGTTTAGTACACATAATTTAGAGAAAATGAGGATTAATATTGGTGATAAGTACACCACAATATTCTATTATGTTTTTTTTCATTTTTTTTGTTTTTACTGAATTGGAAGAATAATTGTAAATTTACCGTTGTGTATTTATTAAACATGTATTTTAATTGTGGTGTCATTAAAATGTGGTGTAGCAATTAAAATTTGTAATTGTAATATAATTACCCTTAATTTTAATCACATATTTTATGAGATCTACAACTTTCAGTCACACATTTCATCAAATTTATCAAAATTTACTAAAAATCTAATTTTTAACTACATCGAACGGTGACATATTATATATCTACTCCCTCCTTCCCATTTCCAGAAACAAAGCAACGTAATGAGAATGTAAAACTTAATTTTCATTTAGGGTGTGTTTGATTGTATTTATTTTCAGTGGAAAATGTCAATTCCTACTTTGAAGTGTTTGATTGTTATTTTTTCCATGGAAAATATTTTCCAACTTCTAAAAATATACACATTTTTCCTTTTTTTTAAGGAAAACATTTTCTTTGGAGAGAATAAATTTTTGTTTTCCTCAAAATAAGGAAAATATTTATTTTCTATTATATATTTTCCATGTCAATCAATCACACTCTTAGATAAAAGTAGGGACAAATTCAAGGTCGGACTAAACAAATTTCAAGCTGAACTAATATGTTTAAAAAAAGGGAAAAATTCATAGGTCAGGGATTATCTTTCACGAAATCAAAAATCAGGTCCCAAAATTTAAATTTACAAAACTCAAGTTTTTCCATGAATTCATTAATTATATTTTACAATTAATCTATTAAATTAAATATTTAAATGTAATATAATATTTATATAATTGACCCACCCCACCAAGGCACCGACCCACTCCACCCCACCTCCACCTCCACTGCTCTGACGACCACTCCGGTGACCATCGACTACTCCGGCGACCACTCTGGCGATCAAGGACTGTTCTCCGGCCGCGCTTAATTTTGGCGACTATTTTCCGGTGATAGTTGGCCGTCGCTTAATTTCGATAACTGCTCCGATTCAGAGGTCACAGATTATTTTAAGGTCACAATTGAAAAAAATTATAGGTAACAGATTTTTAATTGATCACAAATTAAGAAAATTAGTTGGTCACAGATTTCCAAATTTGTTGGTCACAAATTATATTTTGAGTCACAGATTAACATTTTAAGGTCACAGTTAAATAGAACTATATAATTGGTTACAGATCGATATAGTTGGTCACATGCACCCAAACACTCATCCCCCAATCCCAAATACCACCAATACTTGGTCACAGGTCACAGACGACCAAATAGTTGGTCACAGACACTTTGTCCCATTGGCTGCCGACCCCAGTCCCTAAAACACCCACCAACAATAACACCACTGTTGCCCCATCGTCACCCCGTCACAACACCACCACAACCACCGCCATAATAATAACAAAAAATAACCATCACATAGCCTCCCGCACCACCACACCAAGAAAAACACCACCACCGCCGTCGACTCTGCCACAACACCCGTCACCACAACAATAACAAAAACCGACTGCACCACAGTGCCACCATACGGACCGCCACCGCAACCACCGTCAACCACAAGAACATAAAAACCCGACAGCCACCACCTCCGCATGCTGGAGCAATCTGAGAGATTTTCTCGTTGTGGCAATCGCCACCTCTACCTGCAACAGATCGACGCTGCCGTTTTGGTCCACCCACCCAACCCACAGATCGACGCCCCCCACATCCACATATCGACGCTGCCGTTTTGATCCACCCACACACCTCCCTTGCAACAGCGTCTACGCTGCTGTGTCGCACTAGCGTTGACGCTGCGTCACAGCAGTTGCGTCGCGACTGCGACGTCGACAGCAGCGTCGCGACTGCTGTGACAGGGTGGAGACGGGAGGGAGGGAGAAGTGAGGAAAGGAGGGAGAGAGAGAGAGAGGTCAGGGGAGGGGGAAGGGGAAGAGGCGGCGAGTGGTGGCGGTGGAGGCGCCGGGTGAGAGAGGGGAGAGAAATGAAATTGATTAGGGTTTGGATAGGGTTTTATAGTTAAAATAAATTTGGTGGGGTGGGTAGTAGGGTGGGTATATAGATTAATTTAATTTACAATATTATTATTATTATTATTAATTGTAAAATTAAAACCTGATTTTTGATTAAATAAATTCAAAACCTGATTTTTAAAAAGGTCAAACTTAATACTTGGTTTGGTGTAATTTCCTCTTTAAAAAATTACTCACACAACACAAATTAAGTGGGAGCTCGGCCCAGTTCCCCCGTGGATAGAAGTCACATTAGCACATAACGTCCCCATTTTTCATAGTTATTGTGGAAAACGTCCATACATTTCATTTTTGGCATTTTCACCCTTCTTTTCACATTTCATTGCGTAAATGGTCTTTTCCATTTATTTTCTCAATTAAAAATTGTGAAATGACGAAAATACCATTTTCTTTAAATTAAAAAAAATAAAATTGCAACCACAGTCTCATTTTTTTTAAAAGCACAAATGAGTCTCAAATAAATTATTAAAATGGTAATTAGTACAAAATATCCATATCTTTTACTATTATTGCGAAAAACGTCATTACCTTTATTTGTTTGGCATTTTCACCCTTAATTATACATTTGTTTGGCAAATCATCATTTTCATTCAATTTATCAATAAAGAACTCTAAAATAATAAATATAAACTTCTATTTAAATAAAAAAATATTTTTCAATTTCTAATTTTTTTAATAATTTATTTGAGACTCGTTTGCACTTTTTAATTTTTTTAAATTTTTAAATAAATTTAATTGTGACTCGTTTGCACTTTTTTAAAAAATTAATTAATTTTTAATAATTTATTAGGGATTCATTTGTACTTTTTAAAAAAATTGGGACTATGATTGTAATAAATTGTTTAGCTTTTTTATTTAAATAAGAGAGTATATTCGTTATTTCACAGCTTTTTATTGAGAATTTGAATGAAAATATATAGAAAAGATGATTTGCATAATCAAATGTTTAATTAAGAGTGAAAATATTAAAAAAATAATAGACAGTAACGTTTTTTGCAATCATAGTGAAATGAACATTATGTGCTAATTACTCTTTTAATAATTTATTGGTGACTCATTTGCATTTTTTTAAAAAAAAAAAATTGGGACCGTGATTGCAATTAATTTTTTCTTTTTCCTTTTGTTCTATTTAAAGATAATGGTATATTTATCATTTTACAATTTTTAATTGAGAAAATGGATGAAAATAACCTTTTGCGAAATGAAATGTAGAAATAAGGGTGAAAATGTCAAAAAATGAAAGGTAATAATGTTTTCCACAATAACAGTGAAAGGTGAGAACGTTACGTGCCAATTACTCTTTTGGTACAATCAACTACGATACTTTCATGAAGATGTCCATTTTACATGTAATAAAGTTGGAAGGGAAAGAAAGTTGAATTTCACGAGTCAGTGCCTAATTCTTGGAACAAAATTTGGGTAATTACTCTCCATAATTATAAATAACATAATTCATAAAAAATTGTTTTCTTGCGTTCGATTGGTACGTCCACTTCCAGCTAGTCAAGTCGATCCACCGGACTCGATAACACATTATTCATAAAAAATTGTTTTCTTGCGATCGGCTGGTACGTACCACGTCCTGCTAGTCGAGTCAATCCACTGGACTCACTTGTTATCGAGCTCGACTCAACTCTCATACCCGCCATGACACGAATCGAGTTAGCGATCGGTTTGCTCCACCTCCCTCCTCCCTCCTCCCTTCCGAATTCCAATTTCATTTTTTGAACTTTAAACCAGCTAAAACTCTTCGAATTCCCAAACATCAAATGCACAAGAGAAAAAAAACAGATTTTTCGTGATGAAATAATGTCGGAGATTCACAACGCGGCAAGGATGCGGAACCCATGGGCTCTTCATTTTCAGAAACTTGGGCTTCAGCTCAAATGCGCCCTTTGGTATATTTCTTGTAAACATACGAAATTTCTTCTTATAAACTTATGGAATTTTATGTAACTTGGGTTGCATATTGATATTATAGTCTGAACTTGCTGAATAAACCCTTGCTGCTCCCATGCAATCACATTTTCTGCAAGTAAGTGTTTTGTAGTGTGTAATTTTTACGGTTCTTGGCCCTATTGTGATTCATTTTCGTATTTAAGTTATATATGTGTGCATGAAGGTTTTGCATTCCAAAATCGAGCCGATTAGGAACAGAATGCCCTACATGCAATCATCTGTTTGCTGATGGAGGTATTAGTTATTATAGTCTTATCGTGATCATTGTCTCTGTTAAATTTGAATATGAAGAATAGGAATATTTGCCTATTATTTTTCATCAAATCTTTCCTTTTCATCTTAATTTGGATTTCTAAGAAATTTACTAGGAAAATATAACATGCCGAATCAAATTTGAGAACCCCTATGATCTAAAGATCTGTGTAGAAGTTAAGCTTTTTTTTTTTTTATGGCATCCGTAGCTAACTAGTTTATATAATTTATATGGATTTTTATCATTGGTCTCAAACCTATTGAAAAGAGCAAGATGATCCTCAACCTTTTACTATAGTTTCACAAAAAATCCTCAAAGATGAAGATTGTCTTAGTTATCTTTAAATCATAATGTAGCCCACAAGAAAAAAATGCCTCGCTTTAAATTTTGAGCACATAGCCAAGTTCAGAAACAAAATTTAGCTCTATAATTGTCTACATGTGAGGATCACGTCATTGTTTAGCAGTGATTCTGACAGTTTTTGGGGATGGGGACTTACCAACTTGCTACTTTTCAATAGTTCAATTTTTCCTAATCTTTATTGTTATTTGATTAGAGCACTCTTTAACAATCTATACTGTTGATGTAAAATGATAATATCTGAATAAATTGATGTATGTCGCAGAGATGAGATCAGCTCCATTCTTGGAGAATATCATTACCATTTACAAAAGCATGGATGCTACTTTTAACACTATCTTCCCGCATTTGTCTAAGGGTAACACCATTGATAACCTTTATGGTTCAAGCTATATATTTTCATATTTTCTTCATCCCAATTTGATATGGGCAATGTGAATGCTACTTATCTGTATGATTAATTCAGGTTCGAGAGAGTCATTAAACCAGACCCCGGAATCAGTTACTATCATTGATGACAAAACAAGAAAGAAACTTGATGAAATAGAACTTCAAGGAAGTGAACTAGGCAGCAGAGATGGGGTATGATTAAACCTCTCGTGGCATATTCAATTAAAAGTACAACGTCATCCGTATCTTTACAAATACACAAGTGTTTTGTTTCAATTTTGTGTGTTTTTATTATTATTTTTATACTTTATAATTTATAGTGAACTGCTCACATTATGTGACATGCATTTTCTTCTGGATAAAGTATAAGCTATAAAGTCTACACGGCTATTAAATATGTGTTTCTCGCCAACCGGGGGAAAACCTTTAATATGTGATATACATAGTTGATTGTTTAATGGTCAAAGTTTTTTCTTTCCATTTTTTTTCTCCTTATAGAGGGCTTCTGACAGCTGCCCTTTGTTGGTTCTTGTGCTTGACTGGTCCATTTTTTTCATGATATCCTATTAGTTGACTGTGAAAGGGCCTGGTAACAAAATTGATGAAATTAGACCTAGCAAAATGATCAAATCATAACAATCTATGAATCCACCATGTACGTTATCTTGCTAAGCTTATCTAGAAAGTTTTAACTATTAAATCATAAATTCTACCATAGAAATTTTCATGCTGTTGTAAAATTCAACGAGCAAACTTTTTGAGCTTGAGTGGGAAAACATGTTAGTTTCTAAACATGCCAAATTGTCGCGGTACTATATTGTGTATCTTTAAGCTTCTGCGGTTCACAAGTGCAGAGTTCTGGAACATATAGAGCCGAAAGATTAGTTGATGGTGATTTTGATACAGCTCCTGGTGAAATAGCTGATAGGACTTTCCATCAAGACCCATTGCACACACGGGATGCCAAAAGACAAAAGAAACTAAATTACGGTTTGTCTGATTCAGTTGGTGAAGGATTAGCATCTCCTTCTGATAACATAGCAGTTTCCAACCTTAATGGGGAACTCCGTGATGCACTAAACGTGGACAGAACTGCTTGCGCCTTCTGTCATTCTTCTAAGGAGACAGAAGTAAGTTCAACCTGAATAATGTCTCTTATATTTCATTTGGTAACATCGTTGTGCAAATGTTGTGCTATTGACTTTCTGTTGTTGCCATCAAAACATTGTGAATCAGAGGTAAAATATATCTCTTTATGTTTGAATTATTTGTTTCTTTGATCTAATCTATTATTTCCTACATACTGTAGTGGACAGGACCAGTGCTTTACTATGTCAAGGGAAAGGAAGTAGTAGGAGATGTCACTGCTCTTACTAAGGCCATTCCGGTCCACAGCAAATGTATTGAATGGTATAAATTCATGGGAATACGCTTTATGCTCTGAGATTGGGTCTTGGTGTGATGAATATTATAAGAGATATTATTTGAATTAATTTTCAATTTTAATAAGTAGTTTACAAAACATTATTAGTATTTGATTTAATAGCTTTTATTAGATATTTTTTTAAGAAAATTTAATCTTTGAAATCCTATGTAAAAGGGTCTTACACTTTGTAATAGAGACAACTTTGATATGAATCAAGATTGATTATCTTGCCATCAATTCTTCTTTTCTTGCCCCCTTTCTTTCTCTTCTTCTCTTCCTTTCCCTTACTCCCATAATTGTTCTATTGCATCCTACGTCATGGTGTTAAGACTTATAACCTTACAAAGGCAATAGATATAACGCAAAATGGAAAAATTCCTGAAATAGAAGCTTCTTTTCCATTTTTGACAACACAAGAATTCTTCATATTAGATATTCTCTTTCAGAAGTGTGAACAAACTTTTTGAACCATTAGGGTTCTTGTTGACTCCAAGTTGAGCCTGTATTCTTTATCTTTGTTGTTTTATATCTTGTTCTAAATTGATATGCTTGCCGTAGGGGAATGTATCACAATAATTAGTTATTAATTATTTATTGCAGGACCCCTCGAATTTATTTTGTTGGGGAAATAATGAAGAATTTGGAGTCTGAAGTGGCGAGAGCTTCTAAGCTCAAGTGTAGTGGATGTGGATTGAAGGGAGCAGGACTTGGTTGCTTTGTAAAGTCCTGCCCTAAAAGTTACCATGTGCCTTGTGCTGTTGAAATTCTGGATTGCAGATGGGATTGCGTATGTTAACTTTATTACGCACACATGATCTGTCGAAATCAAATCCTAATCCCGCTTTCTCTGACCATTATATATCATAAAACCAACTTGCAGGAGGACTTTCTAATGCTCTGTCCTACTCACAACTCTGTTAAATTCCCAAGGGAGAAATCTAAATCTCGAGAGTTTGGAAGGGACGAAAAGGATTCCTTGTCCACTAAAACGTATGGAGCTCTTTTTAGGATCATCCTTTTATACGTTGACCTTTTTCCAACAATTAGTAAATTAATTATAACTTGAACAAAAGATAGTTTTTGAAAAATCTTACTGTGACTTGTTTCCAAGGTTTCGTTCACTTGTATAACTCATGTAATGGGATGTGAAAAGTGATTTATGCGCTGCCTAATATACCATGCTTTAAGTTGTTTTTTTGCCAAATTGAATACTGAGGAATTGGGTGACTAATTCTTATTCTGAAATAAGCAAGTTCTTTTTCATTTTGTGTCAATTAATATGTTGTCAAATAATGATTTGAGAAATTAACATGTAAGAAAGTCAAGGTCATCTTTGCTTTTCTCATGTTTTATGATCTAAGAACGTCTTACTGTGATATTTCTGAAACTTACTAAATAAAGAATGATGCTCTATTGGAAGTCGATTGTAGGAAATTTGGACTGCTCTTCTCATATCTTTTTAGTGTCACAACAAAGAGCTCTGAGGTCCGTCAAGTTGAGAGACTCATTTGACAAACTACAGAATATTATTTAATTTTGGCTGGTTGAAATTGGTATGTCCGGTTGCATTTATTGTCCATTTCTAAATTGATGTGAAGTCTTCCATCATGGGTGCAGATCCTCTAACTCATTGAAATTTTGGGAAACGTCAACTACTGGACCAAAGCAATGGTTTTTCTGTGGATCTGCTTTGTCTTCAGAAGAGAGGGTTGGTACTGCTGAATATTAAATATGATATATTATTTATGAAGATCATTAGTAAAGTAGAAAGATCTGAGAGATATTTTTCCATACTATTGATTCATCTATTTGTAGTTATTGAAGTTCAAAATGCATAATTAGATCATGAGAACTGCTCAGACATCTCCGTAAAATATTTCTCTTTTGTACATTTAAAGTAACTTTTTCCGGCATTTGTTTTTCCTTCTTCCCCCTTTTGGGCGATAGAAGATAAATATGTTCGAATGGGTAAGTGCCCTTTTCACCATAGAGTTGGTTATATACCATGCCCCAGTAGAAATGTCAAACAGCCTAATTATTCCCTTTTAATTTTGTGTATGCAGTATTTGCTGGTCAAGTTTGCTACCATGTGTGGAGCAACTGTGTCCAAGTTTTGGAACCCAGAAGTTACACATGTAATTGCAGCCACAAATGCAGAGGGGGCATGCGATAGGACTTCTATATTTCTCATGGCAATTTTGACTGGACGCTGGATCCTTACAATGGATTGTAAGCCCCACGTACATTTCCACTTATGTTTGAGCAGCAAGTTTTTTTCCTTCCCGGTCATTTTGACTTCCATTTGCTTGAATAATTTGGCTATTTGAGAGGAGTCAAGTATTTTCCTCAATGATTTTTTGCCTTTTGACTGGGCATAATGATAAAAAAAAAATTGGTATATCAAATGACTTGTGCTATTGATTGGGCAAATAATTGAATTGATCCACGCTTGGAATGAACAAGGAAAATCTTGAAAAAGATAATTGGATAATTTATCTGCTTGACTTATTAATATTCCTAGCAATTCACAGTACAACCCATTTGTTTTCAGGGATAAAAGTCTGTATGGAAGCAAATCATCCTATGAATGAAGAACCTTATGAAGTTAAACTGGACAATCATGGTTGTCGTAATGGCCCCAAAACTGGCAGGGTTATGGCATCGACTAATGTAAGAGTCACTAATTTTGTAAAAGACTTGTATTCTTGTTCATTGTTGTTACTTCTTTTGTTATTACACAATATCTAGACATCATGTATTAGCCACCAGGAAAGACATATCTACAGATAGTCTTATGAATGGTGAAAAAGGACACATTAGGCTATAATCAAACATTGTCACTATCTAGTGGTATCTAGAATGTTAAAGTTTTGGCTATATGAACAATTACTTTGTTGAAAATCTCAGTTTGTGTAGATGCATTCGTAACTAGAAAGCTAGCACCATGTGCTGATCAACTTTTTCCATTGTTACACAGGCACCAAAGCTTTTTCATGGTTTGAAGTTCTATTTTAGTGGGGATTTTGTGCCAGCTTACAAGAACGAACTTATAGATCTAGTTACAGTTGGTGGAGGTACTGTTATTGATAGCATGGAACAGATGATTGCAGAAAGGAACGAGACTCGAACAACTACATGTTTTTTTGTTTATAATTTTGGTTCCCGAGAAGGATGCATATCAGAAACAGCAAGTTCACCTTATGTGCAAAGATTAGCAAAAGCACAGAATTTAACCGAAGATTGTGTTTCTCGGGTCCTTCCACATACATGGATTTTGGAATCAATAGCTGCATATAGGTTGCTACCTTCATTTTGCTAAGAATTCTATTTACCTGTCTCCCTCATCTTGGATGACATAATTTCAGTTAGTTTTATTTTGATATGCTTTAGGAACTGTTGTGGAGGAATACTTATTGGATGTTTGTATATTCTAGAACTTAATTCTGGAGTAGATTTAATGGGAATGGCTATGTTAACTACTGTTTGATATGTTGGACTATAGATCATTTTGTTTGATTACATGATTCAAAAAGTAAGTTAAATTTTTGTTTAATATCATTGTGCAGACATAGTGTTGAAAGGTGTGTATATTCTAAAAGAGTCCTGAAATAGTGGAGTGGTTGAAAGATTGTTTCTTTTATGGCATGTTTGGTGTATTGGACTAAACAATAACGAACAAAATTAACGAAGAAAAAGTTTAAATCCAGCGGTGTTCTATGCTTGCAAGATTTTTACATTCGTTATTTATAACTATAACTATTTGCAATTAGATTTTAACAATTTCCATTCAAATTTTCAATAGAAGCATAAAAGAAAAAAAATATTATTCTCCTCGTTTAAATTTGTTCAACTTATATAGGACGAGACACTGGATAAATTAAAATTTAGATATAATAATATTGCAAACGTATGATTGATTTTTTTGTTCACATTTCATTTCAAGGATAGTGCAAACTAGACGGTCAACTATTTCTTCTAATTTATTGCCACATTTGCAAGAACGTCTAAAAACAACTCGCAAATATCAACAATAGATTGTTCTATAAAAATCACATAACTCAAAGTTTACAAAAGTTGAAACAACTAGAAGAGTTTTAGAGTAACTTCTGTTTAGAGTATTGTTATCTAGTGCCAGTTTAAATGATCGTAAGATCATTATATACTATTGGTCGGAAAAAAAAATGATTAAAACCAAATTGTGTACGGTAAACGTTAATATGACGTAAATGGATGCTAGATATTATTCAAAAATTTAACTTAGCAGTAGTCTAGAAAATGAGTAGATTATTAAAAATAGAGTAATGCTATTCATCCCCATTGGGGATGAAAACACAGTCTTTGTGGCACTAATGTGGCATTAAATGATAAGTGAAATTAAATGATTTATTTAATTTCACCTTTCATTTAACCTATCATTTAATACCACATAAACTGTGTTTTCATCCCCACTGGGGATGAATAACATTACTCTTAAAAATAATAAATTAAGCTAGATATTAAAATCTAACAATCTGACACGTGTCTTATACAATTAATGCTTTAAATAAAAGTTTCCTAAATAAACAAAATAATTAATGCTTTAAATAATAAATAAAAAAATGCTATTCATCCCCAGTCTATGTGGATGTAAATGATTGATTAAATGATAGGTAAAATTATATTATTTAATGTCAAATTAACGTCACATAAATTGGGATGCATCCCTGGGGATCAACAGCATTTCTCAATAAATAATACAGCTGGTATCCATCAGCCCCAACTCTAACGGTCACTTATTCTTTCAAAACACTGATAAAGCCTTACACACCCCACAAAACTTGACCGTTTTTTGCTCTCCGTTTCTTTGAGGCGGCTCCCTCTTTGCCCTTGTTCTTTTGCAATGAAAAATATGAAGAGCCTTTAGCCCCCCTTCAAGTAATCCTTCAAGTAATCTGAAGGTTCAACTCTCTGTAATCAAGCAAAAAAGATTATACGCTCATTCGATTGATTCTCTAAATGGGTTGTTTTCTTGGTTGCTTTGGTGGTGAAAAGGATTCAAAACGGGGCAAGAAGAGGAATAATGGGGTCATCCCTAAACAACAGGTATGAGTTTTTTAGCTCACCAGTTTTTCAGTTCCTTCTAATTTCTTAGTTTTGTGCTTTTGTATAACTGATATTAAGGATTTTTAAAGTAAAGCCAAATGGGTTTTGGTTCTTTTAAGGTTCTTGTATTGGACTAAACAATAACGAACGAAATTAATGAAGAAAAAGTTTAAATCCAGCGGTGTTCTATGCTTGCAAGATTTTTACATTCGTTATTTATAACTATAACTATTTGCCATTAGATTTTAACAATTTCCATTCAAATTTTCAATAGAAGCATAAAAGAAAAAAAAATATTATTCTCCTCGTTTAAATTTGTTCAACTTATATAGGACGAGACACTGGATAAATTAAAATTTAGATATAATAATATTGCAAACGTATGATTGATTTTTTTGTTCGCATTTCATTTCAAGGATAGTGCAAACGAGACGGTCAACTACTTCTTCTAATTTATTGCCACATTTGCAAGAACATCTAAAAACAACTCGCAAATATCAACAATAGATTGTTTTATAAAAATCACATAACTCAAAGTTTAAAAAAGTTGAAACAACTAGAAGAGTTTTAGAGTAACTTCTGTTTAGAGTATTGTTATCTAGTACCAGTTTAAATGATCGTAATATCATTATATACTATTGGTCGAAAAAAAAAAATGATTAAAACCAAATTGTGTACAGTAAACGTTAATATGAAGTAAATGGATGCTAGATATTATTCAAAAATTTAACTTAGCAGTAGTCTAGAAAATGAGTAGATTATTAAAAATAATAAATTAAGCTAGATATTAAAATCTAACAATCTGACACGTGTCCTATACAATCAATGCTTTAAATAAAAGTTTCCTAAATAAACAAAATAATTAATGCTTTAAATAATAAATAAGAAAAATGCTATTCATCCCCAGTGAGGATGCATTCCCAATTTATGTGAATGTAAATGATTGGTGAAATTAAATGACTTATTTAATTTCACATATCATTTAATGCCACATTAACGCAACATAAATTGGGAATGCATCCCCGGTGGGGATGAACAGCATTTCTCAATAAATAATACAGCTTAGCTGGTATCCATCAACCCCAACTCTAAGTCTAACGGTCACTTATTCTTTCAAAACACTGATAAAGCCTTACCCACCCCACAAAACTCGACCGTTTTTTGCTTTCCGTTTCTTTGAGGCGGCTCCCTCTTTGCCCTTGTTCTTTTGCAATGAAAAATATGAAGAGCCTTTAGCCCCCCTTCAAGTAATCTGAAGGTTCAACTCTCTGTAATCAAGCAAAAAAGATTATACGCTCATTCGATTGATTCTCTAAATGGGTTGTTTTCTTGGTTGCTTTGGTGGTGAAAAGGATTCAAAACGGAGCAAGAAGAGGAATAATGGGGTCATCCCTAAACAACAGGTATGAATTTTTTAGCTCACCAGTTTTTCAGTTCCTTCTAATTTCTTAGTTTTGTGCTTTGTATAACTGATATTAAGGATTTTTAACGTAAAGCCAGATGGGTTTTGGTTCTTTTAAGGTTCCTAACCTTAGAAATTGAAAATTCTGACTCCTCGTTAGCGACAATACGCAGTTATGTTGGACCGTGAATGGCCTAATTACGTTGCATAAAGGAAATTATGATTTGTTTGTTGTATTTTTTACATTTCTTGATCCTTAAAGATTATTCATGCCAATGCCTCTTGTTTGTTAATTAGATTGAACTGAATTAAATTATTAAAATCTTATTACAGAGAGAAGGATATCAGAATGGTCAGCAGCAAAGTATAATATCTGCAGAACAGAGCACCACAAAAATAACCCCTACCAACTTGGTTCCTGAGGGAGAGGAGCAATTGAGCCCGAATACTCGAAAAAGAGTTACATTTGATTCAAATGTCACGACATACGAGCATGTTTTGGTCAATGAAAGTACAGATTCTTTACGAGGGGATGATAAAGCATTCAAGAAAGAAACGGAGGAAAGTTTGAAAACACAGAGTCAACTTGACTCCCTATCTGAAGACAACACTTCTGTGATATCCAGTGTTGCATCCTATCCTCCGAATCATAGGTATCACAAAGTTAGAGACAACGATGATGAAGCAGAGGAGGAATATGGTGATAGTGATTTGGATGATTTAGACGATTATGATGATGAAGATGATCATGATGACTATGATATTGATGGCCAAGAAGTGTGGGCTGAATCAGTTTTGACATCATCAAGGGAGTCCACGACAGAAAATTCTCCGGTTCGACCAATACATGAGGAAGTAGAGAGTCATGTGATAAAACCCGGTCTACTTGAAAACGAATTCGAGAGATTAGCCCACAAGACAAATGCAAGAGACAGAAGTGTTTATGTTAATTCTGTTCTGAATCCTATAGAGAACATTACTCAGTGGAAAGCTGTGAAGTCTAAAGGGACAAAGCCCCAAAAGGAGAATTTCAATCGAGACTCGAATCAATCCAAGTACCAGAATCAAGAAATAGCCGTTAATGCAAGTCTTTCCAATTGGTTGGTTCCGTCTGAGGTCTCTTCTGCAAAGAAAATGAGTCATAGCGAACTGGAGACCATGTCACAAGGATCAAACTCGGTGATGAGTTTTGAAGATAGGCCGATTTTAGGTGCATTGACAATCGATGAGCTGAAACAGATCTCGGTATCTTCGACCCCACGAAAGTCACCAAATCAAAGCTTTGATGAGATGCCTATTATAGGTACTGTTGGGAGCTATTGGAATCACTCGGATTCGGCCAAGTCACCTGAATCAGTCTCTTCTCGGAAGGGCATACCGAATACATCCAGCAAGTACAAAGAGGTGGTTAAGTGAGAATCTTGCACACTTTCTGTTTGGTGTATTACGTATTGTAATTATAATGTGGTATTATGGTTTGTGAATTTTAATAATCTGTTTGCATTTGTTTGTTTGTAATTCTTTTGTTTGTGATCATTCCGATGTAATTGCATATGAAAACTGATATATTGATTGATTCAGTTGATTTTTATTTTTATTTATTTATTTATTTTTGCTCATTTTTCTCGACAACTTTTCTAGGACATACAAATTCAAGCCATTTCATGGCAATCCCACTTGACCTTCTCGAAGTTGTTCCTTTGATAGGTTTCCTTTTCATGAAAATTAAGCCGTTTTGCCAGAATTTGGTACCCACCCTTCTGACAGAAGAGTGTTGGCGGGTTTTCATTGGTGCAAAAATTGTTGTATGAACTTGGCATTCTGTCAAAGAATGA